GTATAGTCATAGGTGGAATAATTTAAGAACGCCTCCGTCTAATGGGTATCTGCGTATCTTTTATATTCTATATTATTAAATCTTTAATTAGATAATATAAATTAAGTATTAATAATATATATTATCATGCACCTATATTATAATAAAGTGACTAAGCGACAACACGTTACGAAAAAAAGTCGTTCTTCCAAATATTTTTATTAACTCAGTAACTATATATATTTATATTATACATTATACGCATTATAATATTATGTCAGGACACGCTATAAATAGTATGATTTTTTCTAATAATTTTAATTGGAATTTTAATTTAACGTGCAATCAAATTGCTATGATGACATTTTAAACCGTCACATGTCAAAAATAGAACATTAAAAAAAAAAAAAATCCATAAACGATATGCAAACACTCGAAATATTATACAAGCTTACCTTCCCTCTTGAACCTGGTGATGGGATCCATGGTTTCGGACTTATGATTCACTACTGATATGATTGTGTCCGACGCGTATATTCGCGAGCTGTTGCATATAGCCGCGTAGGCGACTCTTGATTGAACGCGACGTTAAAAATAATCATAAATAATATTGCCCGTATACGCAGTGAGTTTTTTACCGTATGATTAAAACCATCAGTGACTCCGGAAAAAATAATAATTTAAGATCGAAAACAATGCACCCGTGGAACATAGTTCTAGCCTCCGGGATTGGCCGCCTCCTTTGTTTATCCTTAATAAAAACCCGACTAGAAACCTTCGGAAGTAATAACAAGTCGTCTCTATAATACATTTTTTAACGTGATTCCCTTATGATCCAAAAATGTTTTCAAGATATTTCAATGTTTTTATAATTAAATGTCGATTTCTGGAAGACCATTGAAAAAACTTTTGTATTTTAGTACCTATACCAATTCTAGTYATTGTTAAGGGAAAACAATTTTTGCGTAGGTATCGTCAAATAATTAATTATTATTATTATCATATACAAGCAATGTGCATAATATTGGACGTTTCTAATATTAAATATTTATATTTACACATAAAATTGTTGAGCTATAATAGTAAAACTAAAAGCTAATAAAAAAAATATATTAATATTTTTTTTTTTTGAACTTTCAGCATACAACTACTATAGTGGGACAATTACAATATAAAAATTTAGTTCAGATTTAAGTGAACACAATAAAGATAAAATATTATAATATATTAAATATTATATTTTGTTATATAATATAGCTTCTACATTATATAATTCAAATTATATTACAACCTAATTTCTATTGTATTTGTTTTATTTAATAATGATTAGATATATACAAAATATAAAGTACGTTTATATATTATGATGTAACGCATAACGCAGAGAGGCAGTATCGGCGGTCGGCTGTATAGGAAACTTAAAAATATGTGATTGTTTGAGTTTTCTTTGAAGCTTGAAGTTGAATACCTAATAAATTACTTTGATTAATGTTACATTTATTTATCTAGGAAGTTTATTCAATGCCCTAACCAGAGTGAGTACCTTCCAATAGAAGTATTATGCCTCTATGTGAAAAAAAAAAATTCCTTAATATAGACAATATTACATAATATTATAGATTCCAAACTAACGTTTGAGAACTCTTAACAGTTAACCATACAACCGCTAACGAATTTGTAGCAATTCAATTTYAGAAAAGTAAATTGGGTTTTTGAAAATCTGAAAGACATTCGGCGTGCCTACTTATATCATACATACTTAATAAATTCATTGAAATAATTATTAGTTTTAAATATATTGTCTTCAAAATTCAAGGTTATTTAAACCTACTATAAGTAAATATACTTAAGCAGACGTGTATCGGTGTATCGTTTATGCATTTGATATTTACGCATTCAAACCCAAGTGTTTTTTTAATTTGTGTATTTTACAACTTTGCATAATATGCAGAAATATAATAAAATATACATTAATATACAAGTGTTCAATAGGTATCTTGATAGTCTCACAAAGTATTGCGATTTGCATAGGTAATTGATGAACAGCTAGTTATTATGAAAAAAAAAACTTGTTCATTTATAATTAATAATTACTTACACTTGCTTGTATTTTTTTTTTTAAATTTATGTTTTTACGAATTGTTTTGATTTATTTTCATTATTTATATGTGGGGAGAATAACTTCGAAAAATTTGCCATGTGTTCCACACATCAATATTTCTATAACTATATATTGTTATAATACTATAATTGCACAGTATATATATTAACCTATACATTTTGCATAAATGAATACTTGGAAAATAAACAATTTTAGTTACCAAAATGTTTACACAAAAGTTTATACATAAAAATGACAAATGTACAGAGATCATATAGGTATATGTATCGTATATAGGTGTTTATAGATATATACTCAATAAATATACTTCAAAACTTACTTGTATACAATATGTCAAATCTATAATTTTCTATTTTTTCACATATTTTGGTTATTTACTCATTTGCACTTTAGTCACGGTAGGAATACAGCGATGTGTTTATGCCAAATTGCCAACTGATGCATGTACGATACGGATGAACAAGACGCAAATTTATTTGATTAATCATTTTCAAGGACTCGCGTAAGTTTTACTTAATATTATAAATTTATAACACACAATACCAAATCTCTGATGTAAATCAAAGAATAATATAATATCGCTATACAATCGAACAATATTTTGGTGTACCGAGAGCGACACTGCAGGCGGTGATGGTAGAATGCAATTATTTATTATGTACAATAATATTATAAAGGTATTATACATCGTTTCCGGAAACCAGTGTCGAATTCGAGGGGGGTGGCAGCAGTTTTCCGGGTCCCTCCCCCAGGATGTTTTCGAGTATAAACACGTTCAAACGCGTATTATATAGCTGAGGTACCTATGGGTTATAATGTTATTGTCTTTCTTAAAAGTCAATGRTATATTATATACGGTAAAACCTCAGGGCTGATGGTCTTTATATAGACGACGTGCGGTCGTCACCATTCGGCAGGTTCTCTGACCATAATGCAAGTYACGAAATCACATTTGTTGTGGGTAGGCCCGTCGACCTTTACGTTTCTCGATTTGCTCTTCTAGCTAATATAATATGTATGAAGTGTGTGCGGTTGTATTACAGCCGCAGGACGACAAGACCCGGAAGTCGATTGTCCGTTTTAAACCTGCAGTACCGAGAAAAACCTTCCTCAYCAGCAGCAACGCTAACGTGTGCRAGTTATGCCTATACCGTGCGCCGGAAATAAAAGAGAACGATCGACGTGTGACAATCTCAGATCCGGATGGACATAACATATACAGGGCGCGAAACTGCCGTATTGTTTTTTAGCMGTTTGTTTTAATTTTAAATATTTAAAATTATAATRTATTTAAATAACACGTGGGGGCTTAACACACTCTCCGTTGACCTTCATAATAAATTGTGACATCAAATATGAGATATGATGACGGTATATACGACGATGTTAAGTCTTGTAGAAATCTAAATCAGATTTTTTGCATATGGATATACGGCCGATAGGGGTGGTTTCAACCATCGCCTCCGGAAATTTATACTCCAAAAAGTATACGTATATTTAGAAAATATCTGTTATATAGTCGTATACAATTACGTGATCGGTTTTATCGGTTTTTTCACCGCCATCGATTTAACTCGATGGCCGCGTCCGGTGATCACGATGACACGTCCGTCGGTGTGTCGTGATGAAAATACGACGGTGGTGGATCATCTCACACAGTACAATAACAGTATAACCTAACCGATGACGGCAATAAAAACAAATAATAATTATAAAATAATCCAATCGACCGTAGTCCGGCGGGACTGAGGGATGAACGTGTACTAATTTTTTTTTTTTTCCCATCGGCTTAAAAAACACGCGGCGATCAATAAACACGGCACGTCGTAGTAACGTCGCCATCGTGTCGTGTGGACGGCCACGGGGCCGTTGGACGCGCGT